CCCATTACATATGCATACTTGCTCCCTCGCCTTATGCGATTCACGGGAGAAGCAGAGCTCCTTTCGGAGATAGGATTCCCAATTCGTCACTAAAGCGCAACCCTCACAATTATCTTTGTTTATTTATTTCAATTAAAGAGAAAGTGACCAAAAGACTTATAATCGTTATGTAATTAACAACCTTAAGTTACTCAACTAAAACCAAACTCATGCACAATTTTAAATAAACGTTCATTGTTAAACTTAGAAATGAGTAAATGATTATTTAATATATTAGAGAATAAAAGAAAAATGTAAAGTAATTGAAAACTAAATTCATTAACTAATTATTGATCAAGAAAATAATTTTCTAGAATATAATCATATCTGATATTCTACCTCCTCACACTTAAGCTGGACCTCGTCCTCGAGGTCCAAATGCGGGATGCGAGTAGAAAAATCAAAGCATGTCAATCTTCCTCACATTTAATGTGAAGCATATGATGAGAGGCAAGATTTTAATGATCATAAAAAGTTAAAAATTTGGCTAAGAATAGAAATAAAAAGCTATTTTTAATAGAAAATTATTTTAAGCATTAAAACACTTTTTGGTGCAAAAACGGCAAGGCTCATTGTGATGGCTTCTGTTCGTTTTCCCTGCAAAAGAAAAGAAAACAACAAAACAAAGGAAAAAAACAACAAGTGCACAGTGTGTGAAAGTGTGAACAAGAATTATTGTTATTGTTATTGTTATTGTTATTGTTATTGTTATTGTTATTGTTATTGTTATTGTTATTGTAAATAATCTAAATGAGATGACGTAAAAGTGATTTAAAACAAATAACCTTCTTTTATTTGCATGGTGTTAGCTCAAATTACAAAATAAAAAATAAAAAAGTGGTTCTAACTCGGCTCAAATTACAAAATAAAAAGTGGTTATTTGCATGTAATTAATTGAAGTTTAGGAAATATGTGCATACTACCTCGGTCCCATAGTATTTGTTCACTTTCATTTTTACACATCATCTATTGCACTTCTTTAATCCATTTTATCTTGTAATTTGTATATTAAAAAAAATTATAAAAATTATATATAAATAATCTATATGTTAAGACAAATCAAACAAGATGACACATGACTATATTTAGGCTTACACATTGAAAATGTAACAAATATCTTACTCCCTCTGGTCCTAACAAATTTTCTTGTTTTGATTTTTGGTCAAACAGTGACACTTTTTACAATAAATTTTGAAAAAAGAATATTTAATTAATATTAATTAATATAGTTGGGTTCATCTTAGAATATAGTTTTGATATATCAAATTTTTATATTATTTGTTTATTTAGAATATGTCTAGTTTGTGGTACAAAAATGTAACTGTTCGACCAAAAAAACTCAAAACATCAAAGGTTTTAAGACATGAGAGAGAATTTTGAACAAGAACTTTAGGACAATACTGCCAATGATCTTTTTCTAACTTTTGTACATATTTACAAAATATTTAATAAAGTAAATAATGTTATTAAATATTGTCTTTTGGTTTGAATAGCACCAGAAACTTAGGTATGTAAATGGATTAAATTATACGTAGTAACAATCAATATAAAGCATAAAACAAAAATAGATTTTGCGAGCATTGTAGTTCTATCTAAGCCCAAAAATTACTAAAAACTAGTACCATACCCGTGCGTTGCACAGGTCATATTTACGTTATTAGATTAAGACCATTTTTGAAAGATACAAATTAATATCTTAAAGAATATATATATTTTATTATTTTCAGGTACAAAGTAATTAAAAATTATTGAATTACAATATTTAGCCTATACACTCCTTCCGGATAATCTCTGTCATAGTTTTTGCACTTAAACCTGGAACCAAGATAACATCAATCGTTGGTATTCTCAATGCCAACCACATCACCAATTATCTAATAATATCCTTTCTGCAATTAAATCTTAAATTTATGTGTATAGTTTTAAAAATATAAATAAGTCAAATCAAAATTTTGGCCACAAATTTTGTTCATATTTAATGGTTTTTTACCATTTTTCTTGCCGAACTAATAATAAAATGGAGAGCTTTATATACCACATAAAAACAAAGGAATATTATTTAAAAACATAAAAAAATTAGAGAGGCTAATTACGAAAGTGATTAAAAATGACCGTATTTATAGTATGAAAATTTTTGTTCCTTTTTTCTATTTAATGGCGTCAATTTTTTTATAATTTATAACTTTCGGAATAATAATTTATAATTATTATTATTATTATTATTATTATTATTATTATTATTATTATTATTATTATTATTATTATTATTATTATTACCATATAAACATGTGCAAGTAACCGTTGTTAATTGACCAAATAGTAGACAAATTACCATTTCTAAATTCAACACTTACCATATATGATCTCACACTTATATATATTTTTTATATTTTTCCAACCAAAAGAAGGTATAATTATCTTCTACGTTTGTCATTATTATTACACTTATTATCATGTTTATTATTATTTTTATTATTCTTATTATTATTACATTTATTATTATTACGATATACTCCCTCCGTCCCCCTGTATTTGTCCACATTTGACTTTTGAAACTGTTCATCTAAGCACTTTGACTCATCAAATTGTCTCAATGTATAAGTCTAAATATAGTCATCTGTGATCTTGTTTGATTTGTCCTAACATATAGATTATTAATATATAATTTTTATAATTTTTTAATATACAAATTACAAGATAAAATGGATTAAAGAAATGCATTGGATGGTGTGTAAAAATGAAAGTGGACAAATACAGGAGGACAGAGGGAGTACACATGTATTTTTTTATTCTTTCAACAAAAATAAGATATAATAAATTTAGCTTATTAATAAAAACTAAAATTTTTTATTAAAGAAATGAAAACTTTTTATTAAACAATACTTTGACTTCTTTTGAGAAATGTATCAATAAGCCTTGTCAGCCCTTTCATAATAATAAGTATAATTTTGGGACACACTATAATTAATGACGTCTCTTTTTTTATTATTTATAATTTTATCAGAACAAACCTAGTCCTTTAACAAATGAAAACTTTTTATTAATGGCGTCTATTTTGCTATATACCATAATTAATGGCACCATACACATTTATTATTGTTATTATTGTATGGTACATCAAACACACTCATCTTTCTGTAATTGTTTATATTCTTAACATTTTTATTTTACTATTTTTATTACTATTTCGACGAAAAGGTAATAATTATTTTATCCAAAAATAATATATTTCCATAAAAGGTAATAATGTAACGTAAATATGTAAACGGTTTCCGAAAAGGAAACAAAATATAAAATACTCCCTCCGTCCCCCATAGATCTTCCCAATAGCCCTTTTTCTTTGTCCACAATAGATCTTCTCATTTCATTTTTTAACAAGTAAAATACCACAAATGTTAGAATAAAAGACCAACGCTAGAGGGGGGGTGAATAGCGCTTGATCAAAAATCGCAGGAATAAAAATGAATAAACGAGAAGTAAAGAGAAGAGTAAGAGGCACACCGATTTTACCCTGGTTCACCACAACTTGTGGCTAATCCAGCCTCTCGAGAGACTCTCTCGAGCTACACTACTATCTCGTTAAGCTTAACGGTGCTTAACAAACCCGTACAACCTGAGAGTTCGAGTCACACGAACCTCAACAAACCTTCGAAGGAAACAACCCTTCCTTCGAACAACAAGAGAAATACTTTCTCTTGTCAAGTGTCTAAGAACACAAAAAAAACTCTCAAGAACAATACTCTCTTTTAGAGTGGATAATGAGTAACTAAGTACGCTCAAGAACGCAACACAAGCTTCACAAAAATGGCTCTCAAAAAGCTATGAAAAAGTGATGAATGATTTGCAATGAAAGAGTAGAAGTTGTGAAGTTATGTNGAAATCCAACCTTGGCTCAACAGCGATGTCTAACATCCAACATCGCTGTTGGAAGACTTAACGCCAAACCATGGTTTTCAGCCACCCAAGCCAGACAGCGCTGTTGGTTTCACCAACATCGCTGTTGGGCTGGTTTAGCCAGACCCATGGTTGGTTTAGTCAGCCGTTAGCCGATGTCAAAAATGTAAGTTCTCCAAAATAAAAACCAAGTATTGAAAATGTTTGTTTATTGTATTTTGCTAAGAAATCAAGTAAAACATTTTGAAAACCACGTCATTTAGTTGAAAACCACGGCTAGCCAAGTTTACGCTGTTTCGCATGGTTTTCACTAAACGACCAAAAACGAAAGGTGGTTTTTGAAGCGTTTTTGTTGGAGAACTATTTAAACATGCCCAGATGTAAAAACTAATCATTAAAAGTTGAAAACCACTTGGTTGGTTCGGACACCAAAAACCAATGCCGATAACCGAAAGCCGAACGCCGGTTTCCGAAGACCGAACGCCGAATGGCTTGGTTTTTGGTTTGGGCGAACTCCAAGTGTTTTTAGGCAGTTTAAAACTTAAGAGAAACATGTTTGAATATGCAAAAGATATATGATTAGAGAAGCCTAGAGAGCCAAGATTTGAAAGTTTGTGCCGGTTTTGATCACATTAAGACCGACTCAATAGAATTCTAATTCTTCATTCTTGATTCTTGGTTCTTGGTTCTCAAATCATCATGCCATGTTCCTTCGCCTTGGTTTTGCTCACTTTAACCTTGTTATTGTCACGGCGGTTTGGCATTATCAAAACCTGTCATAAAACGAACACAGTTTAGTACGACGTAGGCGTACACCCGTGTTCCAACAATTTCCCCCTTTTTGATAATGGCAAACAAGACGGGGATATGCATACTAAGGGATATTTGATTTTCAGAGAATTGTGAAAAAGTTCCCCCTTAATTTGTGCTTTTTTTTAAAAAAAAATTTAGTCGGATCAAACGGTCTCGTCCCCCCTTAGTATATGCATAGCCCTTTTCTTCCCCCTTTTGACATTAACAAAAAGATAAAAGATACTTTTATTTATTGATGGGAAATAGCGGAGTACAACGGATGCATTAAAAAAAAGACAATTAAAGGAAAAGAGATAGAAATTCTAGGGGTGTCCTAGTTTTCGTCTTTGGTTTCGTCCTCGTCGTCGTCGACATCCATCTCATCACCATCAATGGCGTCATCAAACTCGTCGTCATCCGGAGAGCTTGACGGGGCATAGGAGGCATCGTCTTCGTCCTCGTCACCGTACACTTGCACAAAGAATGTGCCATGGTACGGTGGGGGGACGTAGTTAACGCGTTGGAAGTACGCGTTCATGGCGTACCCTTGGCGTTGGACCGCCTCGTCGAGCCGCTCAAGGTAGCCATCCATCCCGTCAACTTTGAGGTGTAGCCGGTTGAGGGAGTCGGCGATGGAGGCGAGGTTGGCCCGGGCCTGGGGTTCGGCTGGGCTAGCGGCAGGGGCAGTGCGGCGTGGCGCGGCAGTGGCAGGCGCGGCGTTGTCTGACCGCTTGGTGAAGGTTTGGGCACTTATCGTCCAAAGCTTCGTGGCCTTCGTGAGCAGGCCAACGGTGGTGGTTACCTTGAACCGTTCAAGGATGTCCATCACCAAAAACGGGTACGGGAGGAGGTGATCATGGTCGGTGGACGCGGCGATCGTCATGTTGATCATGACAAACTTCGCCCAATTGATTGGGGCCGAGTGCATGATCGTGTGGACGAGCTTGAGGTCCTCTCCGGACATGATTGTGTGGCCGTGCTTCTGGGGTTTGATGATCCAGAACACGATGTAGAGAACGAGACGGCCTTCGGGGTTAGCAGAGTGGATGGTGGGGCGGCCCGAGGCATGGCGTATGAGCTCGGTGATGCCAAGATCGTTGAGGATAAGGCCCTCGTTGTTGAGCACCCAGTCCTCTCCGCCATAGTGGGAGACATCGTCGCCTTGGAAGGGAAGGCCGGCGATGCGCCCAAGCTGCTCTACAGTGAGCTCAATCGGCGTGGACTTGACGAGGCTGTAGATGACGTCGTCCTCACGCCGGAGGTTGGAGTAGAAGGCCCGGATCAGCGCCGGGTTGATCTCCTTCCGCGCCCGGGAGACGAACGGCCAAAGGCCGGCTTGATGAAGCTGTGCGTCTAGGTCGTCGTAACCCTGCAACTCCGGGTAGCGCTCCGGGATGATTCGCGGGGGAGCCACAACCCGTTTAGAGAAGAAGGTGAGGAAACGGGTGCGATCCTCCTCGGAATCAAACCAGAGGTATGACCCGTCGCCGTAGTAAAGGCGTTCTTCGGAGGATGTCGTAGGCGCCCGAGATTTGGACTTTGATTTCCCGGAGGTTCCTACCCTGCCCTTATCTTTGCCCATGGTGAAGAAATCTCAAAAGATTAGAGTAGAGAAGATGAAATATGTAGATATATTGAAGGAATTTGTGTTTGTGTGTGTAAAAGTGAAGAGAGGGGGTCCCAATATATAGAAAAGAGGGTCCCCAACGACCAGATTTTCAAAAATATGGCTGTTGGAGCAATTAATGTAGTTGCAACGGATATTTTTTTGAAAAATTTATCCAGAACAGCGATGTTCCAAAGGCTACATCGCTGTTGGGACAGCGCTGTTGAGCCTCTGGACAGCGCTGGTTTGCGTCAAGTTTTAAAAACAAGTGTTAAATGGACAGCGATGTTGGGAATCCTACAGCGCTGTTCCCAAAGTTTCTGGAAATATGTACGGGGTTGAACCCATTAGAACAGCGCTGTTGGGTGTCCCTACATCGCTGTTTTACGATAGAGAAAACATTTGTAAAAATGGACATCGATGTTGAAAGTGAGACATCGCTGTTTGAAAAGTTTCTGGTTTTGGTGGAAAACAAGGTGTTTTGGGTAGACAGCGATGTTTTTGAAAGGAACATCGATGTTCAAAAAGTTTCTGGAAAGTCAAGAGTAAGGGACTCCCTGGGACAGCGCTGTTGGCTTGTTGTACAGCGCTGTTGGCACAAACTGGTTGACGGTGTTTCTCTCAACAGCGCTGTTGGGTCTCCTGGACAGCGCTGTTTGCATGGTTCCCCCTGATTTCATGAACGGGCCGGGGTACCTGCAAAAAAAAGAAAAAGTTCTCCGACGCTCAAGTTAGTAAACGTTTAATAAATTTAGATGCACAACTTAGATCATCGTGGAGTCAAGGATTCCGAGTTCACTTCGAATGCGGAAGAACGACTCTTTCTCTAAAGGTTTTGTGAAAATGTTGGCTAATTGGTTGTGTGTTTCAACAAACTCAATTTCGACATCACCTTTGAGAACATGATCTCTAATGAAATGATGCCTAATGTCAATGTGTTTTGTCCTTGAGTGAAGAACGGGGTTCTTCGTCAAGCTTATGGCGCTAGTATTATCACAACGAAGAGGGACGTGATTGATACTAAGGCCATAGTCCACGAGTTGTTGCTTCATCCAAAGGATTTGAGCACAACAACTACCGGCGGCTAC